TAATATAATAAAAAAAATGCATATCATGTCACATATGCTATCACTCACGTGATTGGCTTGCAGGACACCTATGGCTAGCATCCTCTACCACAAGGTGTAGGGTTAATGGTGAGGGATCTCGTAGATCCATTTGTTGGATTCAGAATGCTCCTTTTTTAGAAAGGGTGACTAATGTTGGTGGTATTGTCTGGATTCTTCGGAGTCGCTTTTGATCTCCCATACTCTTGATCTAGTCAGGAACTTGAGTGTCATGTAACGGGTCGACACTATTACTCGTATTCGATTGAGAGTTGATCACTTGATGATAGCATTATAAGCTGAGCGAATATCAACTACTATAAATTTAGTTTTTTACTATATTTGTGCAATCCTCACTTCCGAATGTTACACAGATATTGACGGATCCTATCAGGGTGATCAACTCTCTTGTGAAGCTAAGAAGTGGCGAGGAGATGGATTGAAGTTCTTTGGTCGACAAGCCAATTTTTTGAATGGTATCATAGTACAATATATCTGTAGAGCTCTCTCTATCAATCAAAATCCTTTTAACCCATGTTTTTGTGATCCTGAGTGATACTACTAACTCATCATCGTACTCTGGATCTAGGTACTTAGCCTCTTCTTTTATGAATATAATGAGTTAGTCTCCATTTAGGTGGAACATTTTTAACTATGATTTTCTTGTATACATCTTTCGAGTAGAGGAGTTGTTACCTCCAACCGCTAGTCCGTCAATGATCATGTCTATTTGTTGTTTAATTGGACCTCGAGGCTTTGGTGAGGGTTCTTGAATGTGATGGAGGAACTTACTGTGGTGTCCCTTTCAAACCAAATCTTTAATTTGCTCAAGCATAACAATTTTTTGTATCATATCCATGTTCCTAGTGAAAGCGATAATATTTGGGCATATCCATCCTTCTCGATGAGAGTTAACACCACTCAATACTTCCTACAATAAAGTATTCATATAGATTTAGGAGAATGGACTCCTAAGAATACCGATAGCTTTGAGCACTCTCGGTTCAAATCCTCTTATTTTGGTGATCCCAAATAAGGGTTCGACGGGAGCCCCAATCAAACAAAACCATCTCCATATTTAAGATCCCAATATTTTTCGATGACTTTTTCAAGATGACATTCACCCAATCACCTCCTATCGTAATAATATCTATCCTTATAGAAATTTTTCACACTACTTCAATAAATACAAGTACTAACATGGATAATCTAAATCATCGCTCCATACCTTCCTTAGATTACCCAATTAGCTCATTAAACTCTACCTATATATTTGTGTCCCTTGTTTCTACCCCTACTCTACCACTTGCACCTATTTTGAGCTGAATAGTTGAGTCACACTTGGTGTAGACTCATGCCCCACCTAAGTCACCTCTACTGTCGACAGTTCAAAACCAAATCTCATTGCCAAAACCAATCTGCTAATGAGTCAATCAGCCAATCAACTTACTTTCCAACCTAGGTTAGGAGACCACATCAATAAAATGGACTAGCAATCGGCAAACATAGAAATAAAGTAAGGAAAACTGCTAAAAATATATTCATATTTTTTATCTTCTTTCATGAAAGATATAAATAAAGAACTAATTCGTAGTGGCTTTAGACTCCCTATGATAGATGGTAACAAAGGGAAAACTGACCCTTTAGAGCACATAGCTGTATTCACTTCATAGATAACTTTTTATGGGATTATAGACTCCTTATGTGTCGGACTTTCCCAATAACATTAAGATGAACAGCACGATGAGCAAAACGTGAGTGGTTTGCCAAACAATCATTGGAGTCGATCTCATCCTTCATATAGTTAGCCAAGGAGTTTGAGCTTAATTTTATTAGATATAGACTCCTGAAAAAGCTCACCACGCCTCTCCTAGATGTACATTAGGAAGAAAAAGAGTCTAAAAAATTATACAATCAGGTTTAATGATGAATTCCAATAAGTTGCAAATTCGACCTTCTCTGTTCCTATCAATACATATATTGGTGGTGTCTAACCTTTAAGATTCTTTTACAAAGTTATTACTCAACCTCTAGTGACTTTTTTAGAATTGTTGTAAGAAGCCAACCGCCACATATTTATGGAGTCAATAATTATCGGTAAAAAGAGGGGTGAGGTCAAGAAAATAACAAAAGAGAAAAAGTCTTGTGTCCAAGTCCCACGAAAAAGTTAAGAAATTATAAACTAAAAGATTGGCTCTCCTTCTAGCGTCAAATCTGTTAGAGTTAATTTTGGATTGGTTGAGGTCAACTCAGAAAAAATTTTCAAGCTAAATATTCAATCCCTGCAAAACTTGATCTAAGAGTAGTCCCGATAATATTACTCTAATGCTCAGGTCACTACTTAAATTAGACAAGTCTGACTATAAAGGAAAGTCCCCTTTTATAATGGATGCCTAAAAGAGGGATTACATAGTTCATTAGTACGAACTCGATGTCCAGGGTGTTGAGTCATTTATTACATTTTATCGCTAGACATGTGTCAATTAATTACTTATACACGAAAACCACGTTTCAACGAGACCACAAATATACATGTATCAGTCACATATGATACTGACACATCAATCAAATCATATCCACTGTAATAATACATAATCAGACTTTATACATATTAGAAGTAGAAGTCTAGAGATCAACAATAAACATAATTAAAAAAATCCACATAACATTTACGTGGACACAGGAAAGTATACTTACTCTCATATTTCTCCTTAGATCTAATAGAGGAACTATAAGAGAATTGAAAGTATTTTTCTTCTATGACTCCCTCCTCAATACCTTATGACATAAAGGATATTTATAAAAATAAACTTTTTTTCGTTTTCATATTTATATTTCTAATCCTTAGAGAATATTATTCGGATTTCTACAAATATCGGCCAACTCTTACAAAAAAAAAAACAAAGGCTCTTAGAAGATGTCCAAAACACTAAAACAAATTACTAATACACCTTAAAATGAAGAGACAATTGATCTATATAGCTGTTGTTTTTACTAACAATAATAAGATCTATGTAGTCAATACTTAATCCTTCCATGCATGGATTAGACTTATATAAATTTCCAATGTTTGCCACCTCTCATGCTGAACCTTTTCAACCTGCCGAATAACATGACAACGATGAGCACAAGTTTCCCTTTGCTGCTCCATTTCGCTGAGAACCCAGCCGACACGTCTTTGCAGTGTACGTCCGCCTTCACTTGCCGCTTGCAGCTGTACCCCGTTGTGAACCCAACCGTTCCATATGCACTGCCACAAGTTTGCACTGCGTTATTTTAGGACAGTAGATGACACTAATGCATGATAACAGGTATCCGATTAAATCAGAGGAAGTCCACGAGAGAGAGAGAGAGAGAGAGAGAGAGAGAGAGAGAGAGAATAAAAGGGATTCAATGAAACAAGCACTCCAAAAGAGAGCTATGAATAAAAAGAGCTACTCCGTAGAGCTTTATGAGAAAAGCCATGGCCGCTTTTGGCCCGATGTTTTCAGCTGAGACCCTGCGATCCAATCTTGGTGTTGAGTTTGAGCTGCATGATAGAGCAGATAACTGAAGACAGATTCTGCTGAAGTGGCAATCAAAGTTCCACTTCTCTCTCTCTCTCTCTCTCTC